TGGGTGGGTGGGTGGTTGCTGTGGCCCCCCCCTGGACTCACACCCTCCCAGTTTCGCTGCCGCTTCCCAGCTCAAACGCTGAGGAGTTTGATTCCACTCCTGAAGCTCACGATGAGACAATCGAGTCCAAAGCACCCCTTGGACACGGGATGCTGGAAGGAGCAGCCCCTCACCCAGCAAGTCTCATTAGTTTTTCTTTCTGCCTTGCCCACGTATGTTCCAGGACTGAACTACAAGTGGTTTTATGACTAATTTGGCATTTATTTGCTACAAATCCCCTCGCGAGCGACGGCTGGCCCGGCGGTCAGTGATAAGTGACTGTGACAAACAGGGAACTGAGCCCAGGTTCACACATCAAACCCTTTAACACGGTTTTGCCCCGTCTGAGGGCAGACAGCTCGGGTTTGGTATGGAGCAGGAGGATAAATACATCCATCTTTCCACAAATGGTTTTATATAAGAACACGCTTTGACTACAACTGGTTAAAAAGGTGTAGGAAAATACAGGATGAACTCTGAAAGTGCATTAGGTAACCAAGAAGGTGGACAAAGAGAGATGCCTCTTCAAGCCAAATGTTTAAAAGCAATAATATGTCGCTCTCCTGGAGCCAATTCTCTGTAGTAAGGAGTTTGCTTGTGGACAAACCCTCTGATGCCACAGAGAAATCGTGTCCCTTTCCTCCAGACACCAGCATCAATGGCCACCCGGTGAAACACCCATCAGGGATCCCACAGCCTGTCTGGAGACGTCTCCATCGCTCCAGATCCAAGCTCAGCAGGTCCAAGCCCCCACAGCAGCAGGAATTGGGGAGAGGAGGAGCACCGGGCACCGTCGCCAGAGCTGCTGTGCATCACCAGGTCCTGCTGATGCATCTTCACTGCATGAGAAACACCCTGCAGGTAAGGTTTGCCGGGGAAAGAAAGCAGAGGTGGTTATTAAACTGGCTGCTGGGACGGCAGGGGAGGTTTAGAAGAGGTTTAGGATGGATATTAGGAAAAATTTTTACATGGAAAGGGTTATTAAACCTTGGAATGGGCTGCCCAGGGAAGTGGTGAAGGCACCATCCCTGGAGGGATTTAAAAGCCAGGCAGACGTGGTGCTGAGGGACACGGGTCAGTGGTGGGTTTGGCAGTGTTGGGTTGATGGTTGGACTCGATGATCTGAAAGTTTCCTTCCAACCTGGGCAATTCCATGATTCTGTGATTCTTTGATGGGGCGGGAGGAGGAGGAGGACTCCATGTGGGCCAAACCCAGAAGCTCCCATCGCTCTGTTTCACGCCCCCCGTGAGTCAAGGAGACCCTCCAGACCTGGGCGTGGGGAGGAATTTGTACCAACCCGCACCCGTTTTAAACCAGAAAAACACAGAGTTGTTCTCAGAAGGGGGTTTATCCCCCTGCCGTGTTCCTGACAGATTGCATTTTCTTGGGCTGAGCAGCAAAATAGTCCAGAAAAGGACCTTTTATGGAAGATGTGGATCAGTCCCACACTGTTCTGGAGGACTCCGCGTGGCAGGGGACGCAAAGCAGGGTCCCTCCCTCTGGTTTGAGACAGGGGGAGAAGAGAGCGGGTGCCATTTGGCTTTTATGGAAGGAGGTAGAAATCAAACAGCTTCGTGTTTATCCTATGCCAAGTATTGATTTTATTCTAAGCCAATTAAAAATATGTCTAGAGGGGGCTTTTAAGACTGGAGATGCGTGTGGGGGGGACAAAGCGAAAGCCTCTGTGCGGTGCCGGCTCGCAAAGCCTGGGGGGAAAGTTTCACAAAGTAATAAATCATAAAAAGCCCACTCTGTTTCTTTGGTTGTCGGGGACTCAAAGCACGTTTCTAATCGCAGGGAGGCCTCAAATGCTTGTTGCCCTCGGCTTGCAGACTGGGAAGGGGTCTTCTCGACTGGGAAGCAGCCACCCCTGGCAGCAAACCTGGAGCAGATGGGGGAAGGAAGCCAGGCAGCCCCAAGCCTTTCACCTCCCTGAAGTGTGGACACCAAGACACACACAGCCAGGCAGCCAGAGCCTGTGACACACCTGCTCACCTCCAAACCAACCACCGAATCGACCACGGGTGGAAAACCAAATTTTAATTTCCTAACGGCGAGCCCCTCTCCACGATATATGCTTAAAATACCCACAGAGCCACCTGCTTCCCCGAAGAGTTCCGCGGCGGAGAGCCAGTCGCTGCTGGTGACAGCTGCTTCCCTCAAGAACAGTCCCCGTTTGTGCGAGGAGGGAAGTGCTGCTGCTGCTTCCTGAGGAGCGATGCTGAGTCAGGCAGGAATGGGCCCTTGCTGGTCCCTCCGTGGGAGATGCCGTGGGCGGCTGCTCCCGAAGCTTTGATGCTGTGACACAGCGGTGCCACGCTCGGGGCTCTCAGAAGGGTCTGAAAACTGCAGCCACAGCTCTGCCAGCTCCACCGATGCTCCTTTGGGAATCCCAGTCCAAGGGACGGTGCTTTGGAAGCACTGTTAGTGCTGGCTGAGCATCTCTGCACAACACTAAGAGCTCTAATTTGCTCCTCTGCCCACTCCCTGTGTCTTGCTGTCCCCGCTGGTGGAACAGTCTGGGCAGGGGAGTGAGGTTTTTCCTGAGATCCAGCTCGGGGAATCACTGCTGTGAGCGTGGCTGGTGGGGAGAGCCTCACCACCAGCTGCATCCTCCTCTCGTGGGGTGTTCTCCTCGTCCCCAGTCCCGCTGCCGGCTGCCCGCTGCGGCTTCTCGGCCGGAGGGGAGATAGGACTCCCACCACCCACCTTGTCCTGCCGACACTCCTTGGTTTTGATGCCCACAGCTTTTAGGATGGTGTCCATCTGCTTCATGTAGTCCAGGTGGCCATTTACCTGCAAGCAAGGACAGAGCCCCGTTAGCGGAGGAGCTGCGAGGAGCCCAGCCCAGTTGAGTCCTTCATCTCAAACGCCACCACTGCCACCAGGCTTGGTTTTAGCCCAGAAAGGCTGAGAGAATGAGGTCTGAAAAATGCAGTTGCCCATTAAATAACCTCAACTGGCTGTGCCTTCTGTGGATTGCTTCTCCTCCCACAGATGTTGGATTAATGCTTGGACATTGCTGAGTTACAGCCACCCAGATCCTGGGTGCCACGAGGGTAAGAGAGGAGGTGACCTGCCCTGGTGAGAGACGCCCAGGTAGGAGAGAAGTTGTCTTAGTTCCTCCCTGTGCCTTAGCTTCCTTGTAAAAGCAAAGATTATCTTATTTAAATTAGGACCTCACACCAGCTACCAAACGTGTTAAGGTTTCTTGGCTGGAGAGTGCACTGATCTGTCCCACACCAAATAAAACTGGGAGCCTGAGAGCTATGGGTTCATAAATCAAATTAAAGTCAAAAATACCTCCAAAACCCCACGGTTTTATTGTAAAGGGGACTTCCATGATAAGAAAAACACTTCTGAGATGGATGCTGGAATGTACCCTTCCAGTCGGGGCACAGGAAGGAGAGAAAACCTCCACTGCAGGTTATTATTGTTACAGGCTAAAGGCTTCCTGGCTGGGAAGGTGGAAACTGCCCTCGCTGTTTGAGGTGTCCTGTGCAAGCCCAGGGTTTGAAGTCACAACAGCCCAGATCCTTCCAGAGACCAGCCCTCGGATCTCCTGTGCTGTCGTACTCGCAGCCAAAAGGGGAGGAGGTGCTTGTGAGCACAGGGGGCATTTATAATGGGTTTTTTATAGAATCATAGAATTGTAGAATGGTTTGGGTTGGAAGGGACCTCAAAGATCATCGAGTTCCAACCCCCCTGCCCTGGGCAGGGACATCTCCCACTACAGCAGGTTGCTCAAGGCCCCATCCAGCCTGGCCTTGAACCCCTCCAGGGATGGGGCATCCACAACTTCCCTGGGCAACCTGTTCCAGTGTCTCACCACCCTCAGAGTAAAAAGTTTCTTCCTGATATCTAATCTGAATCTTTTCTCTTCCAATTTAAAACCATTTCCCCTTGTCCTATCACTACACTTCCTGGCAAAGAGTCCGAGAGAGGGAAGTGCTGCCAGGCTGAGCCGAGGCTGTTCCGATGGCACGCTCACCAGCTGCCTGCAGATTTCACCAATAATGCTAAAGAACCAGTATTGATCCCAATACCAATATAAAACACACCAGGACTATCCCCAGCCCAGTCCCCAGCAGAAGCTGTGCCCTCCCAGCAGGGACAGCCCGTGTGGGACCCTGCGAGCGCTGCGGCTTCGGGAGGAAGGGAAGGGCTCAGGGATCCAAGGAGTTCTCAGGATCCCAGCCATCAGGGGAGAGAGAGAGAACTCCTCAGCAAACTTTCTAATTTATATTGAATATGCCATTCATGGTATGTAATAACCCTATAGGCAGCTTGGGTCAAGTGCCTGGGTCTCACTCCTCGTCCGCGCACCTGGGGAGCTCGAAAACACCAAGACCTTGAAACCCACGCTCCAGAGCTGGCTGTAAAGTAAAGATTTTCACTAATTCAGACACCAGAGTCTTCTAGAAGTGCAGTTTTCCCAGCATTAGAAGAGGAATCAGTTCTGTGTGGCTCAAACCAGGACACTTGGTGGGACCATCTTCTTTTTCTTGGCATTTGGAGGACAACCTCGTGCACCCAGGAACACCTTGTTGGGTGCTTTTGTGAATATTCAGCTCTTCTGAAAAATAAACACCTGAAACAAATCCCTCGCTCTTTAATTTCTCTCTACCTTTTTATTTGAGGGATAAAATACCGATGGCTTCTCAGTAAGAACCCTGTGGAAGGAGGGAAAGTAGAGTAGGAAGGGTCATCATCCCAGAAAGCTGGGCCAGCTCAGCATCACCGTCAGAAGACACGGAGTACCGAGTTGGTGGCCTCAAAGCATGAGTCTTTCCAAGCATGAGAAGAGAAATGAGTCCTGTGTGGCTCAAACCAGGGCACAGGGCTACCAACACACCTCTGCCCAAACCTAAACCAAGCCTCCTTTCCCGCATGGGCAAAACCCAAACCTCGTAGCTTGGGTGAAGTAGCTTTTGAGTGGTAACATTTGGCTGCATTTAGGACTTGGAGCAAAATGAAGGATTTAATCAGCACGTTAGTAATGCAATATGCGACTTTAATCAGTCCAGATGGCTCAACAGGCTCTTGATGTTTTGAGCAGATTAGTTAATTAAAATCTCCATTGAAGGACTAATGGACTGGCTGTTAAGATGTGTACGTTGTTCTCTGAAAAAGTATGAATGTTTTAGTGCTCAGTGGCGGGGCTTGGTGCTAAAGAAAGAGACAAGCACAGCGTTGGGCAAGGGGGAGAGAACCAAGAAGGCAACGGACGGGCAGGGGTTGCTGAAGTTTGGAGCTTTGCTGCATTTTGAAACCTCTGCAGTCATTACAATCCACCTGCCCCAGTCAGCGCCCGGGGATTTCTCAGCTCATTCCATTCCCTGCTCATTAGTCAGAGAGAACAGATTCTCTCTGGCACCCTAAGGATAAGATTTTCATAACTCCTCAGTATCCAGCAGCTTCTGCTAAAACAAAAGGGAATTCCTCTTCCTTGAGCACCACGATCACTGAGACGCTGCGTAGGAGCAATTCTGAAGAGCTGAGTCTTTCCTCATACAGCAAAAAGAGAAGCTGGGACCTCCTGAAAGCCTGTCCCTCACTGCAGCTCTGGTCATGCCACTGAATCTCTCCAAAGGAAACTCACTTCTGTTTCCAGGAGAGCCCAGGAGAGGATTCCAGAGGAATTTCAGAGGATTCCAGGCTAATGCAAGCCCTGAGAAGCACAAGAGGACAAGGGCAACGGAGCTGGTGAGGGGTCGGGAGCATAAGTCTTATGAGGAACAGCTGAGGGAGCTGGGGGTGCTCAGCCTGGAGAAAAGGAGGCTGAGGGGAGACCTTATTGCTCTCTCCAACTCCCTGAAAGGAGGGTGTAGCCAGGGGGGGTTGGTCTCTTCTCCCAAGGAACAGACGATGGGACAAGAGGAAATGGCCTCAAGCTGTGCCAGGGGAGGTTCAGATTGGAGATTAGGAAAAATGTTTCCATGGAAAGGGTTATCCAGCCTTGGAATGGGCTGCCCAGGGAAGTGGCTGAGGCACCATCCCTGGAGGGATTTAAAAGACAGGTTGACATAGTGCTTAGAGACATGGTTTAGTGATGGTTTTTATCAGAGTGAGGTTGATGGTTGGACTGGATGATCTTAAAAGTCCCTTCCAACCCGGACAATTCTATGATTCTATGACTTTATGACTCTTTCACTGCTATCCTGTGACATTAAGTACTGAGCCATTGGCAAAAGAAGAGGGAACAAATTGCCTTCCCACTTTAGAGCTGTGATGCCATCCCCAGTTCAGCAATTCCATCTCTCAAAAGCCTGTTTTCATCTGCAATCTGAAAAGCTGAATTCCTCCGCTGGGCGGACTCTGCTGGAGAAGGGATGGGAACATCTAAAACATTGTAAAGGACAATAAAAACTTTAAAGGGAAATAAACAACGGCTTGAATATTTGTCAGAACAAAGTGCAGGAGGAATTTCAGAACAAACAGAAGAGAGAAGTGGTTTTGTAACCAAAGCAAATGCTTGTTATAAGGAAACAAACACGAGAGGGGTAGGTTTATCAGCGTGCTTAGGTGACTTCTCCCCTGCTATATCGTGTTTGCTTTGACTCACTGAACAGCAGAAGGCAACTGGTTCTGCTGCAGGACTACAGCACCGCACAGAAAGCTCTCCAAAAGGACTATAGACCTTGGCATGGCTCAGGTGGATCCATCCCTCAGCTGAAAGGAGCCAGCAGCTCAGAAAGTCTGGAAAGGTTTTCAAGTTCAAATCCACCCAAAAGTGTCAAAAATGTCATTGAGACCCATCAGCTGTGTCTAGTAAATCCAAACAAAAGTCGACAGCAGGTCGAGGTGGAGAGGACAGGGGACAGAGACCAGCGTGTCTGAGAAGGGAGGGCAATGGGGTCAGTTTTGCTCTCTACAACCCCCTGAAAGGGGAGTTTCTCCCTGAGGGGTCAGTTTCTTCTCCCAAGGAGTGGGCACAGAAGGCAACTGGTTCTGCTGCAGGACTACGGCACCACACAGAGGAAACGGCCTCAAGTTGCACCAGGGGAGGTTCAGGTTGGATATTAGGAAAAATGTTTTCACTGAAAGAGTTATCAAGCATTACAAGGGGCTGCCCAGGGAAGTGGTTGAGGCACCATCCCTGGAGGTGTTCAAAAAACAGGTTGAGATGGTGCTGGAGGACATGATCCTCCCAAGGAGTGGGCAACAGCACAAGAGGAAACAGCCTCAAGTTGCACCAGGTTGGATATTAGGAAAAATGAAAGGGTTATCAAGCATTAGAAGGGGCTGCCCAGGGAAGTGGTTGATGGAGGTGTTCAAAAAACAGGTTGACATGGTGCTGGAGGACATGATCTAGTGATGGTTTTTTTTTATCAGAGTTAGGTTGATGGTTGGTCTAGATGATCTTGAAGGTCCCTTCCAACCCAGACAATTCTATGATTCTATGATTAAGTTTGTGGCTCCCATGCAGCTCCCTCCATCAGTGATTGAGCTGGTGCAATCTCCACGGCGCCGCTCAATTGCCTTTGCAGTTGGTTTTCCCCCATGTCATGAAGGAACAGATGAAGGACCAACACAGGATCCATCCATGCAGATCAGATCTTTAGGAAAAATCCTGACTTCTGTGGGGTTTTGAGCTAGAGGAACCCAAGGTGTTGGCCCAGAGGGGATGCTTGACAGAGCCTGACAGAGAAAAGAGAAGGAGAAAGGAGATCCTACGGATGATCCTGACTCATGTACGCACAGCCAAGACTCTGACTCCGTCACAACACTGGGTGTCCCGATGACATTACTCGGTTTGATAGGGCAGAGAAGTCTCTGCTCACTCCAGAGCCAAC